TCTGGTCCCAGGAAACAGGATATAAATCTTTCCAGACTTGTTTACACTTTCAGGTTGCCTAAGTGACCCAACCGGAGGTTGACTAAACCTCTGACTCTTCATGATTGGTCGATTCGGAGAACAGAGACAGAGTTTTTATTACCTTTCAAACTGACTCCATTACTGACCATCTAAATAAACATTAACGTCTCAACCCAGATCTCCCATTTGAGATTTACCTTCTTAAAGTGTGTGAACATACGGACCCCAGGATAAGGGGGGACACTGACCTCCAGACCTCGGTCGTAAAACCCTGCTCGACCATACACTGATAAAGACTACATTCCTTTGGTGAAAGAATACAAATGACTGATCATGACATCTTATGCATTCAGCAATGTACTAATCTGTCTAATCATGAAATTTGTGTTAAAATGAGATGTTTCCCGTTTTTCTATGTGCTCCAGAAGCCGAGTTATCGCTCTTTAGTTTCTTTAGACCAACAGCTTTTCAGACTGTTCCATGAACTTTTAAGAGTTAAATTTATCGACTATGAATCATAACTTAACTCTAGGTAACAGAAACAGTTTAGAAATGTTTGGTTTATATTGTAGTTGTTTGTTTAGTATTTTTAACCATTAGGTGGTTATAATGTCATTGAATAACCTTAATGTGAGTATTTAGAATCCATTATTAATCATGATGAAGTTCATTCACATGTGTTTACTCTTTTGTTGTTCACAGTTTCCAGGTGTTACTATCTGTTTCATTTCAGAGTAATTTAGCATGTTCAATGTGATACTTAAAACATAATGAGAATGTTTGATGTGATCCTACACTTCATTCATATGTGTTTAGTGTCAAATTATTTATCACGAAACCAAGCATTCAATGATATTAATCAAAGTGAGTGAGTATCAGATCTGACTCTTTTACCAGCCAAAAGAATAAGTTAGATCAAGTAATCAGAGATTCCACGACCCCTCCTTTCTCCTCACACACACCCCGGAGACACTCCCAGTGTGAGAAGATAAAACCAGTGAAGTGGGGTTGCTCACTCTCTTATGCTTCTGCTCTTCTGCTGACTCTCTTGTCCCCGGCTCTTATGCCCCTTCTCCTCTGTCCACACCCTTCTGTGGTGCGTTTCTTTGTTTTCTCTTAGAACTTTTTCTTAGTCTTCTAAGTTTTACGCCACGTGTTGATTCACGTTGATTTTTCTTTAACATCGTCTTAGTTCAAGTTTTGAAACTTCAACTTTTTGTGCGCATAGCAATTCAAGATTAAGCCTTTGATTGATTTTTCTTTAATTTCGCGAAGCCATTTTTGAAAGTTTTCTCTGCTCGAGTCTCGTTTTTCTGAGTTTTCTGCGTGATTCAAAGTCACCTCTGAACGCAACCCAGCAGGCCCAGGACATCCTCTGTGCCAGAGTTTTAAGTGAGACCAAAGAAGTACCCAAACGAGCATCCACAGGATCCACAGGCGCTGGCTTTGCTTCGGGCCCGAGTGCTGCAACTCCTGGCTCATCCTTCGGCTGACTTCAGTCGTCTTCTGAGCTGAACCGCTCGAACCGCCAGTAGCCCGGACCTTCGGAACCTGCTCCATCTTCTCCAAGGACCAGTCTCACTTAAGTATGCAAACCTCCAGAGCTCTAAAGAGGGCTGGTGCTGTCTCCTGCGTTCAACTCAGATATCCTCTTATTCTGGTAATCTTAGATTCCTCCAAATCCACATCCGAGTTTATCTCGACGCCAAAGTTAGTGTAGGTTAATATGTTAGCGCATATTCACTCACTATCATTAACTTTAGTGCTCCTAGCCTGACTCAAAATCTTTATTTATTCACCTATTATTATTTTATCCTCATTATCTTATCATCATTTATTGCATGTTTGTTGTACCATCATTTATCCTGTAATAAACAGATCATTATTTTTCTAAGTTCCTGTCTGTTAGTGTTCTTCCAGAAGTGGAGTCCCTGAAATTAGAATTTCGACTTAAGATATGAGACTGATTAATTAAGACTGATTAATTAAAACTGACTTGATGTTTGATTTCTGAATTAAACTTTTGTTTTCTTTATTTTCCCACCATTAAGGGTGGGTGGTGCCCCTTTCAACGAGTGCATAAATGTCATAATTTGAGATTATTAATCTTCAGACATTTATTATAAATTCCAATCGCTACAGTATTATTTTGGTGCGGCCTTGTGAGGCTAATTTCAAATCACTACAGTCTCCTTAGCTCCTCCCGGTCCCTGAGGACAAAGAAGATCAGATCGAGTTCATTTAGCTGGATTAGGGTGGCAATACTTATTGCTCCCTGGTTTGATGCCTGTGTGTTTGGGTTCACCCCAGTGGACGAGAGGGTAACCTCCCTTTGTTTTTCGGGAGGGGGGACGGATCCTGACTGCTGTTTGTGCCTATACTCCAAACAGCAGCTCAGAGTATCCACCCTTCTTGAAATCTTTAGAAGGGGTGCTGGAGGGTGCTCCTTCGGAGGACTCCCTTGTTCTTCTGGGGGACTTTGATGCCCATGTTGGCAGCGACAGTAAGACCTGGAGGGGTGTGATTAGGAGGAATGGCCCCCCTGATCTGAACTTTGTTAGTAGTGCTTTGTTATTGGATTTCTGTGCTCGTCACAGATTGTCCATAACAGACACCACGTTCAGACATAAAGACGTTCATATATGCACTTGGTACCAGGAAACCCTGGGCCGCAGGTTTTCCTGGTACTTATTGATTGATACCAAATTGATTGAAAATCCTCCAAATTCACATTTGACAATGTGGGTTTCTGTGAGATCTGGGGCCTCATGTATCAACGCTGGCGGCGCCAGAAAACCTTGCGTCCGCCAAGATCGGCGCACACGTCCAGATTTATCATCGCGACACGAGCGTCGGTTCCAGCGCAAATCAACGCAAAGTGAGGAGGTGGTGTAGAAGTTGGCGTTGAGCCGATACTTGCGTTGACGGCACTTTGGCGACGCTGTGTGGCGGTGTTTGGTGACTCACTATGTGACAAGCGTGCACCACATCCCCGTGGCCGAGCAGCACATCGCCCCACATGACGCACCAGCAGCAGACGGAGGGATGCGAGCTGATCCCTGCCGGGCCGCCATCCTCGCGCGGGAGAATCTCATCGCCACAGTGTGAATGGGTAAGAAGTGAATACACAGTTCAATGAGCCAAATTAATTTATTTTCGCCACCAGACGCTCGAGGACATTTACGAGCGATTGCGATTGCAGGACCGCCTCCGTGAGGACCCTTCCACTGTGTCCGGGTGGTCCAGCGGAAGCGCCGCGGCTGGTGGACACTCTACCGCTTGTCGGCGCGCTGGTGCTGATGCTGGTGCTGGTGCTGGTGCTGGTGCTGGTGCTGGGGCCGGGGGCCGGGGTGGCCCGAATGCCGCTGGCCCTGGCCGACGAATCCAAGCCGGCGGACGGGCTACCGCGGGGCCGGGGTTCCGCAAGCCGGCGACACAGCCGACACATTGATTTCTGTAACACAATAAAAATATTGGTTCATTTCAGTTCCTGCTTCTGTGTATCTGTTGCGTTTACATCTCTCTCCACGGTATCACAGGTAATGTAATCCAGTATTTAGAGGTCAGTTATGCACATTACAGTTGTTTATTGCATAAAAAGTTATCGAAAAATGAAGTTAAGGGCTTAGTATAAATCACGTCGAAAAATAGACTGAATCCCGACGTTGAAATGAAGTATAAACTTAGACTAGACGTCTAATATACGTCTTTTGCTCAGTGGGATGGCAAAGCATGTGGACATTTGTGTGACACGCCACTTACCCTATAATAATAATCGCCACCACCCGCTGCCCAAACGGCGTGAGGGTCTCCTCCCCTGGAACCCCACCTGTCTGGCCGGTACTCCTACGGAGGGTAGCTGTACGCCGCTTGACCTCCACCTTGAGGTCCGACCACTTTTTTTTAATCTCCGCGGGGGTGCGTGTCTTGGAACCCACCGCGTTCACCCTCTCGCAAACTTTCTCCCACTCCAAGCGTTTTCGTTTTGCACTGACGCCACTGAACAGTAAGGGTGTGGAAAATAATCTAAATTAATCGATGCATCGATGCGCATGTGCGCGATGCGACTGCGTCGGCATATTCACTGGGTATCGATGCAATTGACGGGTTAAATCTAGATTCATCTAGATGTGTTGGTGGGTATCGGTAAAATCCGATGCAAGCGCCGTTTTATTCATGTTAAACTTCACCCCATCTGCTGTTCCCCAGGCGCAATGAATGCACCATCATTATTTCACGTTTTGTATTGAATAAGGAAGGAAGCCGTGAGGGACATACAATGCACTACTAGTAAAACAGCATGGACCAAATTCAAGTGAGCAGCAGCGAGGAAGAGTTTATATGTAATGCACCGGCTACGTTTAAATCATATGTTTGGAAACACTACGGATTTGCAAAGAAAGACGGAGAGCTCGACAAAACGTCCGTCATTTGCAAAGAATGCAGCGTTAAGAAGCCGTACAACGGCAGCACGACAAACATGCAGACCCACTTAAAAAGAGTACACCACATCTAGTCTAACGCCACCTCCCCTCCCTTAACTATAGCCACGTTTACATGCAGACTTTTTTCTCATTCGGATTATAATCATTCCGATTGAAGCTCCCAGGCGAACTGTTTACATGGAAGCGATCTATTCTGATCTGGTGTTTACATGTGCCACGGCATTCAATTGGAACAGCTATTTACAGACATGTGATACCTTCAAACATCACGTGATGTTGTCACGTGATGTTGTCACGTGATGTTGTCACATGATGTCCCACCATGTGAGTCATACGTCACTGCTTGTTTACATCAGGACAGAGCATGCGCAGACAGAACCCAGCCTGACAACTTTCCGATTCACCGTTTACATGACAGGATTTTGCTTTTAATCGGAATGGGAAAAGGAATATTCTACCCCTGTGAATCGGAATGAAATTCCATTCGGAATGGGCCTGTTTATTCCGAATGAGGTGTTTATATGGAGCATTTTCATTCCGATTGGGCTTCTATTCCGATTCTATTCGGAATATTTGGCTCCATGTAAACGTAGCTATTGATTGCACTGTTGAAAGTGTCACTTTGGGTTACTCATTGAGAGTGTTTTGTGGTTGCTGTTTACTGTACTTTTTACAGCAGTAATTATTGTGTAAATGTTTTACTCTTTTATTATTGCAGAACTCACTCAAATCACTGTTTTCAGTGGCCAGTTAGAAAGTAAACTCTAGCACATTGGTTTAGCAGACAGTAGTATGGCCATCGAATGGTTTATTTGCACCATGTTAGGCAGTGCATTAGTTGTTTAATAATGTGTACTGTAATATTACCCAACAATTATAGAGCACTTGTGTGATGTAGGGTTGGGATTGGAATCCTTTTTTTTTTTTGATTTTATTGATTCAGATTCCTTAACAGTTGCAGGAGGTCTGTCTAATCTGTGTAACTGTACAAAATGGAACCCAAAGGAGCATAGAAAAAAGACAAAAAGCACTTTTGTTTAATTTTCTGCCAAGTGCCTTTAAGGAATAAAGCCAAATCATTTTTGTAGTACCATACTGAATTCCATCTTTTATTTTTATTTCTTTTTTTTCTTTGCTTATTTGCATCATGTTGAATTGCATCATATCACAACAAATTGCATCATATCGTATCGGATCGCATTGATTTGAACTAAATGATTATTGTGTCGTATCGCATCATGAAGAGGGTGAATCGTATCGCATCGTATCGCCAGAAAATTCCATGTATCGCTAAAGTATCGTATCGCTGGCAGTGCATCGAGATGTGTATCGAATCGTCCTCAGTGCTGAGATTCACACCCCTACTGGACAGGCTGCCAAACAAAACACGCTGTCGCTCCTCCACCTCCGCCACCAGCACCTCCACCTCGCACGCCGTAAATTTAGTTTTTCTTGTCATTTTGTCTGCGTGCAAGGACAGGGAGACCCTATTTAAATAAATCTGCATATTTATAGGAGGGCGTAACGGGGGCGGGCCCGGTCACTCCGATATCTGCGCTCAATTCCAAGCTGATTGGGATTTATCAGCGTGACGGACCTTGCGTGCGCTCGTTTCTGGTATGAGTCCCACGCAAGTGTTGATACATGAGGCCCCTGGTGTCTGTGGAATAACCTGCTGGGGTTACAATAAAAGTTAACATGTAAAAGACATCTGATACCAGGACCTGGTTACTGACACATTTTGGAGATTAAGAACAGGTTCCCTAACAAATGTTACTCATAAGGGACTGGTTAACTGACAAGTGCTGATGGTTAAGAATTGGTCAACTGACGTGCTGCTGGTTAATGACTGGTTTACTGAAAGATGCTGCTGGTTAAAGACTATTTACCTTACCAGTGCTGCTGGTTAAACAATGGTAAACAGGTTGATATTGCTAGTTAAGGACTAGCTAATAGGCTGATGCTGTAAGTAAAGGATTTGCTAACAGGATGATACTGCTGATTCAGGGCAGGTTCATGGATGGAAGCTGCTGGTTAAAAACTCATCTATTGACTAATGCTTCTGGTGAGAGACTAGTTAAAGGCTGATGCTGCTGGTAAGGGTTAGTTCGCTGATTGATACTGCTGTGAAGGAACTAGTTAACAGACTAACAATACTGGCTTGGAGTTGGAAGTCAGTCTTTGGATAAATGGACTGATGTGGTGAGTTAGAGGCAAGTTTACAGGTTTATCCTGCTGGTTAGCTACACGTCAAAAGGCTGATGTGGTTTTAGATGGACTAGATTACAGGCTAATGCGGATAGTCAGGGACCAGTTAATGTTCTGATCTGGCTGGTATACGACCAGTTAACAGGTATATTTAGCTGCTTACAGACTAGATGGACAGGTTAGTACTGCTGGTTGAGAGGAAGTAAACAGGCTGAGTTGGCTTGTTCGGGAATAGTCGAAAGGTTCCTCAGACTGGTCAGAGACTAGATGACAGATTGATCCAGCTGGTTGGTCAGTCAGATACTCAGGCGTGCAGGACTTAGTCTAGTTAGTCCGGTTATCAGACAGTACAGCAGTGTCTGTGTCTTCTGGATCTTTCTGATACCTGGTTCCATTGGTTTCCTTATCTGTCCCATCTTTCCATGGGTTGAACTTCCTGTATGATGACTAAAACTTCCTGTGTGTTTCTCCTTCCTGTTGGTACAGTCCTCGCCATGGCCCTCGTCACTGTCCTGTCCTTGATGATCACTAGCTCCACCTTCAGAGAGCCTTCAAACTCCTGGCCTGGCCCAATGTCATCCTGGGCTGTCTGGAAGCCCATGAAGATGGCTGTTATTGGCTCAGTGGTGTCAACAGTGTTAAGGATGGTGTGGGGAGCATTGTCTGCGTACAGGGGGGAGGGTCCTCTATCAGAGGTGGCAGGGCCACGGCACAATGAAGAGAGCTGGTTTCCTTTGTGATTGGAGGATTGACTCATACAGTAAAGGAGTATTTCAATTTCCCTTTGGGGATAAAATAAAGTTAGGCTGTGTCAGAAATGGATCCCTAACTACTATATTGGTGACTATATGGGGGTTAGCACCATTTTGAAGGGTGTCTAAAACTTGAGTGATCAATTCCAGTGCCCCATATAGGCAACTCAAAATTTCCCATAAAACATAAAACATTGCAAAATGTAGTGACCATCCGATGGGCACTCACCGGTGGTGGGCATCCCTCTGGGACACTAATTAGTGTAACCTCAGGTTATTGAGTTACACACGGAAATCCTGCGCTCTATTTCCTCATTTGTAAACATGAGCCGGCATGATGGTGTGAATGGACACCTGACAAGTAAGTGGAGGGATGAATATCTATGTGAATGTATGTTTAAGTTAGCCGATAGAGCTCCAAGTGTGCAACCATGGTTACCCTATCCAACAGAAAAGAGAGAAGGAAAGTGCCAAGTGCTAAAAAAGTGCTAAATGCTATTAATCATTCATCAGTAGTATTTAAAGTGCATCCCAGCTGTGCAATATTTACATGGCAAAAAGCCATCCGTCATTAGTAACAAAGGCTCTTCGTTACACTTACATTGAGGTATTGGGGTTAAGGGGTCAGGGTTAGGGTTATGGGGTAGGGGTTAAAATTAGGACCCGACCCATATGGATGTTTTAGGGCCGATGCTGATACTGATTATTGGGGGAGAAAAAAATCAGTTTTAAAATTTTGGTAATTTAAGTAAAATATCTACATATTTCCTTTTTTCTTTTAACAAATGGCTGCTTTTGAGCCTTTCAAACGCTTCTTCATAGAATTAAAGGCAAAAACTCATTACAAATCCTTTTTATTGCTACAACAACTGAAAAAGAATGAGGTATTTTGTGTAAAGTGCAAACAGTTAAGTTAACTTCCAACTCTTCCACACCTTGCCACGCTTGCTTTCTTTTGACATCTGTGAAAACAACAACAAAAAGAAAAACAGTGAGAGAACAGCAAGTATGCATTAAATATGCATTGTTTAAAAGAATTTGTCTCGTTATATATGGGCCATTTTCAAACTCATAGCCTACATTAAGCATTTTTCTTAGTTGTGTTTACATAATATGACTTACACTACACCCCTGGCTATGTATTTTAACTGTAATTAAGATGATAAACAAATTCTTTTTAGCTTATTATTCAGACTGCAGCGGGTGTGAGTCTGATTGTTTTGTCAACCTCCTTCTTGTTAAACTCACACACTCGTCATCCTCTAATATAAATAGCCTATATAAATAAATAAATTAAAAAATAAAATAAAATAAAGCTAACTTACATATATCATAAAAAACGAGGAACACTCGATAAACACCCCCCCCCCCCAGAATTCAGCGCGTCTTCAAAGAAGATAAAAGAAATCCAAAAACACAAGACAGTCAGCTCAGGCTGTATGAGTGCATTATCTGTTAACTCACTAAAATCTGCACCTGCAAACCAAACATTATACTCTTTAGAAAAGGAGCTGATCCACTCTGCTACCACAATCAAAAACATAAGAAATAAGAAAGCTGACAATACTACATCGGAGTATCACTGACACATTGAGTTTTTTTTTTTTTTTTTTTTTAAGACTGAGAGATTAAAGTTGTTAACTTGGGAGAATAAAGTCATGAAGTAAATAAAGTCATAAAGCTGCGTTTTGTGGATGGGAAATGGCTGGAACTGGTCAACTGAGGGGTTATTGATGGATGTATCAGCGGGTCATTCAGAGAGTTTTTGTGGTTTTTAAGAAACAATCCAACTGATGATCAACATTTGAGATCCAGAGGAAGTCGAGCTCCAACAAGCACCATGTCTCTGACACCGGCAGTAACCTACACCTGCAGAGACACCAACGCCTTATTATGGCATATGGATTCATATCATAAACTAAAGCTCAATGCCATTCACGGATATTTACGGCTGCATTGACAGTTATATCCTCAGCATATCCATTTCTGCCTCCACAAAAGCAGCAATTTCCTCCAAGTCCTCCTGTTTTTTTCCCTGTGGAAAAGATGTATTTCTCATATGTTCTTTTTTCAGTCTTTATACTTGTGACAATGTGGTGCTGATATGCCAAAGGACGATGTATCTCCTTGTCTGTGAAACCTTTACCAAAGGACAGTTCCTTCAAATGCTTCATGGCCCTAATTTTAACAACTCTCCTCTTAAATAACAGGTAACCTTATGACTTTATTCTCATAAATTAATGACTTTATTCTTGTAAATTCACGACTTTGATCTCGAAGTCTTCAAAAAAAAATCTCAATATGGCCCTCCTTCATACAAAACATGCAATCATTGGATGAATTTTGTGGAAATGATCTATGCTTATATGTATCTACTGTTTTGTGTCCGTGCAAGGTCGCACAATTAAAAAATAACGGCCGCGCTCCGAGCACGCTCTCAGCCTGATGCGGTCTCTGAAATGAGACACAGCCTATGGTCTTAACTCACGTTACTCATGTCCGGTCCGGTCTCATCTGGAGAAATGCAGCTGCCTCAGTAAGAGAAGAAGCTCGATCACGTAATGTGTACTATTGTTAATGTACTACGATGGACTGGAAGTGCAAAACACAACCACAAAAGAGAAAACACGACAGCAGATCAAAACGCAATCGCAAAAGAGAAAACACAACCACAAATCACAAAACGCAACTGCAAATCACAAAACACGACAGCAAATCACATATGCAAACGCAAAAAAGAAAACGCAACCGCAAATCTCAAAACACGACAGCAAATCACAAATGCAAACGCAAAAAAGAAAACGCAACCGCAAATCCCAAAACACGATAGCATCATCTGTCTTCTTCTTCTTTGTTGTAGTTTAATGGCAGTTTACCTGCTGGATGTCAGAATGGGAAAGTAAAGACGAACATGGACGCCGAAAGCGAAAGTGTACTGGAAATTATGCAGCAATATTTTGATGCAGGACACAAATATGACGTGATAGCCGACATGTTATTGACTTTTTATGGCTTTAGCATGAGCATTTGAACGCTGAAGACCCGCTTGAAAGAAGCTGCCTTGTTTAGACGCCGTAACTACTCCCCACTTTTCGAGGTGAGGAGTGCCACTCTGACCAAGCTTGATGGACCAGAGCAACTGTTCAGATATCGGACTATGTGGAAAGTCCTATAACAGAAACATGGACTTCGTGTAAAGCGTGACGTGGTGATGAGGTTGCTTAGACACCTGAGCCCACAACGGTTCGTGTCTTTCCGGGTCAAAGGACAGACGAGTTGATTTGAGTGCTTACTTTCCCGTTCCGACATCGATCCAGCAGGTGGAGGTAGTTCTCCACCCCTAGCTGAGTAAACTGCCATTAAACTACAATGAAGAAGAAGAAGACAGACGATGCTGTCGTGTTTTGGGATTTGCGGTTGCTTTTTCTTTTTTGCATTTGCGATTTGCTGTCGTGTTTTGGGATTTGCGGTTGCGTTTTCTTTTTTGCGTTTGCATATGTGATTTGCTGTCTTGTTTTCTTTTTTGCGTTTGCATATGTGGTTTGCTGTTGTGTTTTGTGATTTGCAGTTGCGTTTTGTGACTTGCGGTTGCGTTTTCTCTTTTGCGTTTGCGTTTTGATTTGCTGTCGTGTTTTCTCTTTTGTGGTTGTGTTTTGCACTTCCAGGCCACCGTATTCTACCGTTAGTGGCACGGCTAACAGTGTAGCAAGGCTAATAGCAGATGGCTAACTCTAACTTTAGCTTGCATATTACATGGTGCTTCACCGTTAACTCCGCGTGACCGAGACCAGCACAGCGGGGAACATCATGAAGTGGGTTGAACTGAAACTTGTTGACTTACTGTGTATTTCACAAACTGGTTTATTTATCGTTGAGGCGGACCACTCTCCTCCGTGTGTCCCTGCCGCTGCCTGCTTCAGATCCGTCACTCTGCTGTGCTGTGAGGTAGTTAGTGGATGAAGATTATCATGAGGTCGCTGCGCCATCTACAGGATAAGTCGGGGGATGTTTTCAAATGGCGGAACATTTTTGAAGTGAAACAGAATCGTATTCTCCGCATTTTATTTCTGAAAATGTTTTCCTAAGGGTTATGGCTGACCTTAGCGTCAGACAACCTCAAATCGTTTTGTGACTCATTTAATCTGACACAGCTTGTTAAGGGGGAAACATGCCCAAATGCTAAATGTCCTGAGAAGTCATCCTTGCTTGATCTGTTTTTAACAAATTCCCCTCATAAATTCTCTAATGTGGGCACTTTTACAAATGATCTAAGTGATCATTGTGTTATTGCAACTGTTAGGCAGGCTAAACTCCCTAAAATGAAGCCCCGACTGCTCCATAAAAGAGACCATAAACGTTTTTGTGAGCAAGCTTTCTTTCATGATCTTTATGATTTTGACTGGGACAGACTAAATCTTATTCGTGATGTGGAATTGGCTTGGAATTTCTTTTTTTTTTTTTATGGTTTCCCGAATAATCTAAATAAACATGCTCTTTTTCGCAAATTGCAAATAAAAGGTCACAATAATCCATGGTTTTCTCCAGAATTAAATAGTCTCCTTAGAGATAGAAATAACGCTTGGGCCAGAGCAAGACAGACTAAGGCTGACATTGATTGGCTCAGATTTAGGCAGCTTAGAAATCGGTATACTTAGTCTATAAGAACTGCAAAGTCAGAGTACTACCTTTCGGAAACCAGTAAATATTTAAATGATCCAAGAAAGTTTTGGAAAATGATGAGGTCCTTTTCTGGTCAGGTTTCCACCACTGAACCACTTTCTTTTATCAACAATGACTCATGTATGATAACTGATAGGTCTGAGATTTTAAATTGTTTTAATGAGCATTTTATTTCTGCAGGATTTTTATTTGAATCTAATCAAGAATTAAGCAGTCCTGATCCCCGCATTGAAGATAATGTCAAGCCAGTTTGTAGAGAAAATGTGGAAGCTCTATTTCAGTTTCTTTCAACATCTGCAGTTGATGTGTTGAGGGAACTGAAACAGCTTGACCCAAAGAAATCTGCCGGTCCTGATCAGCTTGATCCATACTTTCTAAAATGGGCTGCAGATTTCATCGCTCAGCCTCTATCAAATTTATATAATCTGAGTCTTCTTAACAGTGAAGTCCCAATCATATGGAAGTCTGCCTTTGTTCTTCCCCTCCTAAAAGGGGGAGATCCCTCAATTTTGAACAACTATAGACCTATTTCAAAGCTGTGCATTTTAGCAAAGGTCTTCAAAAGACTTGTCAGCAATCAACTAAAAGCTTTCCTTGAGGAATCAAGCATTTATCAAGTTACCAATCTGGCCAATCAAGGTTTTGAATGACATTATTGGCGCATTAGATTTAAAGAAAGTGTGTGTAGCACTATTAATTGACATATCCAAAGCGTTTGACACAGTTGATCACAATATTCTAATTGATACACTGCACAAAGTGGGCTTATCCGGGCATGTAGTTGGTTCAGGAATCACCTATCATGTAGGTCTCAGTGTGTCCAGATGGCAGGCTCCACATCTACATTTCTGATGGTCTCAAAAGGGGTACCACAAGGATCGGTGTTGGGGCCCATTCTGTTTTCTATTTATATAAATGAACTCTGTAACAATCTGTCAGACGCCTTCTATCATTTTTATGCAGACGATACAGTCATTTACTGCTTTGCATCGTCTGTTGTGCATGCTTTCACTCGTCTGCAGTCGGCCTTTGATGTCGTTCAGGCTTGCCTGCAAAGGCTGAAACTGGTCCTGAACGTTGATAAGACAAAGGTTATGCTGTTTTCCAGGGCTACTGTGCTGTCAACAAATCTTCCCGTGTTAACCTGCAGGGGTGCAGCCATTGAGCAAGTATCGTCCAATAAGTACCTGGGTTTCCATCTGGATGATTGTCTAAATTTCAAATATCATATCTCAAACCTAATTTCTAAACTTAAGGTAAAATTGGGCTTTTATTTTAGGAACAGATCTTGCTTTTCTCTTGGAGCCAGGAAACATCTTGTGTCAGCAACCTTCCTTCCGTTGCTTGATTATGGTGATGTACTGTATATGCTTGCACCAGTCACATGTCTACGTTCCTTGGATACTGTCTATCATTGTGCTTTAAGGTTTGACACTGGATGCAAGAATCTGACGCATCGTTGCACTCTGTACAAAAAAGCGGAATGGCCCTCCCTGTCTGTCAGAAGATTCACTCACTGGTTGACTTTTATTTACAAAGCTTTACTTGGGATGGTGCCATCCTATCTTGGATCTTACCTTGTGAGAAATAATGGACATTATAGGCTATGATCCACTGGCTTGTTGATGTTAAAAACTCCTCGTGTCCTCTCTTAGTTAGGAAAAAGGGCCTTCTGCTTTGCTGCTCCTACTGCATGGAATTCGCTACAGATGGAACTAAAATTATCAGATATGATCCCCTTTGAGGACTTTGTGAAAATTTTTAAAATGAGGGAACTGGAAAGCATTGGCCTTTGTGACTGTTTTTAACAAGATGTTACACTGCTTCTATTTTATCACTGACAATTTTATTTATTTTAATCTGTTGTATCTCTTATTGAGTTATTGTTATTCATTTTACATGATTTTACTGTAACTCTGTAACTTTGCTGCCTCTTGGCCAGGTCGCTTTTTTAAAAGAGATTTTGTATTAAGATTATATATTAACCCTCGCCTGGTTAAATAAAGATTAAATAAATAAAATAATTGTTGGGGTTATGTTTGGGTATTGGGGTTGGGGTTAGGGTTATGGGGTGTGGGTTGGGGATATGGGTTTAGGGTTAAAATCACTACAATAAAATTTGAGAAAAATGTCAAATAATTTTTTGAGTGTTAGGGTTATGTTGGGGTAAGGTCTGTGTATTAGGGTAAGGGTGAGGATTATGGGGTTAGGGTTAGAGGGTTAGGGTTAAAAGTCACTGTCCAGGACCTTTTTATAAGCATGTTTCTGACTATTTGGAGTCAATTGGTACAAAAAAATTCAGAAATATGTAAAAAAAAATTTCAAGTGGAAGGCTTACGTTGGGGTACTGTTATTAACACTTGCCAAGCTGTGCGTGCAGCTTCTTGATGAGGTAGGCTGTAAATTGGTCAATCGTCCAACCACTTTGGACTCTGCTACATCTGCTACATTAGGGTCAGTATACTTTAACACGGATCTTACATACTGTCTAGGTTTGGGTGTTAAATTGAGTCTGCTGGATCATGTTCAGAGTTTATACCCAGTTTCTTACCCTAACCTTAACCCTTACAGAGGCTCTGTAGGACTGAGAATGAGCCTGTAAAGGATTTACACTTCAAAGAGAAATCACTGTAAATGTTAAGCTTGACATAAAAGTGATCTCACTCTTTCTCGGTGAGTTTGATTCAGAGTGTGTGCTGGCTGCCACAGGGGGGTGCTGTGGAGACCTGTACAGGCTCTGCAGGGCAGAAAACACACAGCTAAACATCCATCATCTGTCCTTAGGATCAAAAAATCATTAGTTCATCCAAACTCACCCTGAGCAAAGCTGCCCTGGGCCTTCTGAAAGACAGACAGATATCAGTTACAGGAACATAACTGACTCAAACACAGCCCTTTGTGTGTGTGTGTGTGTGTGTGTGTGTGTGTGTGTGTGTGTGTGTGTGTGTGTGTGTGTGCAGTGTGTGTGTGTGTGTGTGTGTGTGTGTGTGTGTGTGTGTGTGTGTGTGTGTGTTTGTGTGCGTGTGTGTGTGTGTGTGTGAGAGAGAGAGAGAGAGAGAGAGAGAGAGAGAGAGAGAGAGAGAGAGAGAAAGCAAGAGAGAGAGTGTTTGAGTGTGTGAACCTTGATAATGTCTTTTCTATCCTGAAGAGACAGAGACACAGACAGGCAGTGACCTGACAGCCACAACAATGTATGTGTGTGTGTCTGCAGTGTGTGTGTCTGTTGTGTATATACTGTACCTGTGGATCTTGAGCTGCAGAACTCGTGTCTCTCGCTGCTCGCTCACAGAGCTCTGTTCTTGCTGTGGGGGGTCAATTGCATTGTGGGTACTTGCTCACTGCAGCAGCCACTGCTCCCTCAGACTTTTTCTGAAGAGGTCAGGAACAGAGAACAAGCTTCAATCATGAAGAGGCTCCATGTTTTAAACAGGATCTTTTTAGTAGATATCATTGTGGGTCTTAGTCACTGAAAATCTGAGATACTGCAGCAGGTTGATCCTGTATGGGATGGTCATTGCTAAGAAAACTATTCTTTGAGTCTGGAATAGGGATGTATCCCTGAGTTTTGAAGCCTGGCTCACAGAGCTCTCAAATACCGTATTCATGGAAAAAATTCAATTTGAGTTGTCAGGGTCATCAGACAGATTCCATCAGATATGGCAACCATTCTTGATCATATCACACAGAGAGGACCCTCATGACACCTTAATGTCCTCACTGTGTTTGGATATTTATTTCTTTGTAATTTTTTTTAAAGTATAAATTTATTACAGTCGCGGATGACCATAGAAACTGTTGTTATAGAGTACAGCTTTCACATTGTATATTTTCTTTTCTCCGACCTGCTTCTTCAATAGACATCTTTAGTAAGATGCTGCAGATGTTTTATCAGTCTGGGGTGGCAAGTGTTCACTGCAGTCTGCTGGGGAGGCAGTATCTAACACAAAAATGCAAGACATCTGAACAAACTGGTGAAAAAGGCTAGCTCTGTGGTTAAATTCAATTTGGACTCACTGGAGGATGTGGTGGAGAGATGTACACTGAGGAAGGTGGAGGCTATTCTAAAGAACATGGATCATCCACTTCATAACATGTGAATGGACCAAAGGGCCAATGGTGCTGGACGGCTCCTCTCTCTTTGCTGCAGGACAGAAAGATTCAGAAGATCTTTTGTACCTACAGCCATCAGACTTTACAACTCTTCTGTAAATAGTAGGTAACTTTTGGAGACATGACAAATGAGACGACAGACAATTGAATTTTCCTTTGGGGATCAATAAATTTCTTCTTATTTTTATTCTGGGGAAGGGGTGGGAAGAAGAGAATAAATGTTCAGGTTGTTGTGTTTTATGTACCTTTATATTTTGAAAATGAATAAATAAAGTATTTAAAAATAAAAAAACTTAAACATGTTCTTACTTCTTTTTGGGATCACGGCTGAGGGATCAGGATTACCTGCCGGGGATAAGAAACTTGTTGCCTTTTCAACATTGCTAGCCCACTGCTTGATTCTTCAGGAATGGAAAAATGTGGGCCACCCTATTTAATCACACAGGGTTAAGGACATGCTGTTTCATTTTAAGATTAGAAATGTAATGAGGGGCTCTGAAAGGAAGTTTCATTGGGTTTGGAGGCCTTTTTAGACCTTATCAACAAACCATCAACAAAAGTAAATTAATATATATATATATATATATATATATATATATATATATATATATACATATGTGTGTGTGTGTGTGTGTGTGTGTGTGTGTTTAAAGACTTTTCTTTTTGGGACAGTGGGTTAGGGGGAGTTCTATTCTGGATGGGGTGGGGGATTGTCTATCCCTCTTTCTTTTGCTGTATATTTTTGTATATTAATTAAAACTCAATAAAAATGTTAAAAACTAAACTGCAGCTAAATCAGGACTGCACATTACAGCGTTTGTCAGGATTTTTTGTCTGTATCACTGCCTTACCCCCTGTGGACAAAGCAGTCTTTGTTTATCTGTGCTTATGTTTGTGGCAAAAAACAGTCATCCTGATGAATGTTCCATTCATAGTTGGAGGGGGGGGACTTCAGCTCCTCAACCCTCACTGACACTTTAACCCTCATACCTGTGTGTGGTATAAAAAATTCCAATATAAAAAAATGTTGCCATGGGAGGTTTAAAATGTGAAGCCAGTGCATACAAAGAAGTGAAATACCATTGTTTATATAAATTTTCCAAAATCATTAACTATATATATATTTTAATCCTCAGTGTTTGCGTTAAATTTGGGATGCAGAGTGCAAATTTGGAATTGGGTAGCCAGAATCTGAGACTTGATTTGAAACAATTTCTCAAAATTAAAGCTGCTGTGAGGAACTCTCTATTTGTGCCAATTTTTGGACCCCCAATAGTTGGGTCACAAAGTGAGATTCTGTGACCATTCTCTGGCAAGGATGTTTTGACAATTGATTTGACCTCTATGGACCCTTTAGAAAAGATTTAGCCCCCAGGTCCCTCGCAAAAATCCCGGCATTTTTTGCTAGACAGCTAAATTCAAGATGGCGGCCGGCGCCATCTCTAAAAATTAACTTTTGATCTGGATGACCTAGAATCATGTATGAAGGCACTTTTCCATACAAGTCAAGCATGAGGATTCCAAATCTGACAGTTTTAATCATACAACTTTGTTTTGACCGCGATATTCAAGATGGCTGCCATCTAGTACTGTGATTCTCAACCTTCAGGACTTGACCCCCAAAACAATCATATTTGAACTGGGTAACCCCCAATTTGTTTGACTCTGTTCCACATAGAGATATTGTGAAAATAGCCGATCTACAAGCCCGTAACACATGGGGCTCTATTTCGTGCCTCGCCGGAGACGTGCTGCAGGCGCAGCGAAAGTCAGGTCCGCCGCGCCGACAAGGCGTTCCCAAGCACAATTTGGTATTTTGGTGAGCGACGCAGCCCGGTGTAAGTATCCCCCCTCCTTTACTCAGCTCCTCCCAGCGGCGTAAGTCGTAGCGAGGGAGGAGAGAGGGCGTGGAGTGGGTTTAACACAGCCGAGACCTGTTTTCACCAGTCACATAGGCTTTCAATCCGCCACTGGCGAGGCGTATTACTATTTTCGTGAAGTAGTCAAAGAGATCAAGAGATGTCTGAAGACAGTAATGCCACACGATGGCGACAGAAGGCAGCTCCTCAACAAGTGCCACTGTAAGCGCTGCATTTGGCGTCCTCCACACTCTCTCATGTGAGCACAGACGGATTTGGTGTGTGTAATGTTGGACCCACTGGTAAGACAAACACCCTTTTCCACAAATAAAGACACTCACATAAAGTTGCATATATCCAAACCTCACGTGACAAAGGTGGGTTGAGCGCACAGATCACAATATAAACTCCAAAAATGGCATTAAAATTGGAACCATCTGTGCGTAAATGACGCATCGCGCTCTGTGGCCTGGCTCTTTCTTTCATAGATGTTGGCATATAAAATAAATTTGCCTCACAAAACTGAATATTATAATATCCGTATGTCGGCTTGAAGTAAATAACTCATCTGATCACTGAAACAAATGATCTGTTCAGCTGCAGCAGGACAGAGAGAGGACACAGACACATGTCCAGGTCGAGCTGCGCAAGAAATAAGAGGAAGAGGAAGAAAGAAAAGGAGGGAGACAAATTAAATATCTTGTTAACTTCATCATGTGTGTTTATTTACTAGATATTTAATTTAATTTAATGCGGTTTCAGCTGTGTTGATTCCGTCAGGTTGTGTGTCCAAATGCGTGCCAAACGCGCTCATCAGATCAGATATAGATCAGAATATATCGATATAGATCTAAATATATGTGCTGACTCAGATTAATTGTTATTGATGATTATTTATTGCACTGAAATGTGCCTGACACTGTGGAAACCTGCCGGTGAGGCATCGGTGATGTATGCCGATACGCCGCCGGTCTACCAAAATACCACTAGACCAGCTGCGCTCCGCCTGCGCTAAAAGCTGACCAGGTTTGAATCGGCGAGCTTTCAGTGCACTTTACACGCCGTTGGCGAGCACGAAAATGTCCATGATAATACCAAACTGGCTGTACGCCGGGCTCCGCCAGACGAAAATACAACTGCGCGGGGTCCGCCACCCTTCACCCTCCTGTCCCTTCATGTCAGGGCATGTTAGCACATGCTGCTTGTTTAGTGCTGCTGCTTTCCTAAATGTTGCCTCAGTCATTCTTTTGAGCCCACAGTTAGAGGAGCTACACATTTGATCTGTAAAGACAGTGTGCATGCAGAATACATGGCTGCTTGAATATGGAAGAAAATAATATACCAACAAGAACAGACAGACAGTCATGTATTCTCCAGTGTGGTAGTCTGTGCAATGAAGCCACATATACCATTAAGTCGACCCAAAGATGATCCCTGACATGCAGGGACAGCCAATCAAATTGCCTGAGTTAAGTACTGCTGCTGACATGAATCAAGCATACTGGATAGTTTGAGTGCAATATTCACTGGCCTTTATGTTGTTGTTAAGTTAAGTTTTCTCTGTACTTGATCATTGGTTGGTGGCGTACCCCCAGATGACAGTGAAATGATAATGTTAGGAATTGTAAGATCCTCAAAGAAAAAGATCATCACTGCATCCAAAGTAATCAACAAACAATGCTAAACCATCGGCCAAATTGTCAAATGATATAAGAAAAAGGCAAAAATTGTGAATATAGCCAATCTACAAGCTCACACGCCTCACAATACAAGGTGTTACGGGCTTGTAGATCGGCTATTTTCACAATATCTATATGTGGAACAGAGTCAAACAAATTAGGGGTTACCCATTTCAAATATGATTGTTTTGGGGGGGTCAAGTCCTGAAAAGGTTGAGAATCACAGTACTAGATGGCAGCCATCTAGAATATCGCGGTCAAAACAAAGTTGTATGATTAAAACTATGTCAGATTTGGAATCCTCATGCTTGACTTGTATGGAAAAGTGCCTTCATACATGATTCTAGGTCATCCAGATCAAAAGTTAATTTTTAGAGATGGCGCCAGCCGCCATCTTGAATTTAGCTGTCTAGGGATTTTTGCGAGGGACCTGGGGGCTAAATCTTTTCTAAAGGGTCCATAGAGGTCAAATCAATTGTCAAAACATCCTTTGCCAGAGGATGGTCACAGAATCTCACTTTGTGACCCAACTATTGGGGGTCCAAAAATTGGCACAAATAGAGAGTTCCTCACAGCAGCTTTAATTTTGAGAAATTGTTTCAAATCAAGTCTCAGATTCTGGCTACCCAATTCAAAATTTGCACTCTGCATCCCAAATTTACCATACCATACAATATACCATTGTTTATATAAATTTTCCAAAATCATTAACTATATATATATTTTAATCCTCAGTGTTTGCGTTAAATTTGGGATGCAGAGTAGAAAAGATCTGTATGACACCACAATAAGACGTTATAAGCTCTCACAGTTTTAATTTTGTTTTTACACTTTGTTAGACATAGCTGTTACATGCATATTGCATTTACTGAATATAAAATTCTGCTGTCATTTTTTAATTAACAAGATAAATCGGAACAGATTTTTTTCTTTAGTGAATGCATTAGGGTCCTGGACAAGAACAGTTTTTGGAGTTAAAAATACAGCCCTATTTTTTTCTTAACTAATGAGATAAATATCTCTGAATTACAAAATAGATTTACAGTAAATAAAATTTTCTGTCATATTTTTCTGGATGAACAAGATAAACATGTTGTAAAAGCAGTCAAAGAGATCAGTTGGCAGGAAATTTTATTCAAATTCCGACATCATTATCTCATTCATTCAGAAAAACGGGGCATAAATTTAATATACATAATAGCTATCGCGCACAGTTGGGTATTTCATTCACTTGAGAAAAAAATCTGATCTGATTTTATAAACTTGATAAATTATGGTAATTTTCACAGAATAACGCGACTGAATTGTGTGAACATGAGTATTTGGCCCAGTTTTTTCTGGATTAACGAGAAAATCATCAATAATAAAAATAAAAAAAATAAAAAAACACCCACAGCATTTTCTTTTAACTCTGAGGTTATTAATCAGTTAATTCAGAAAAAAGAAAGAACTTTCTCGTAATTACAGAAAATGTATTCTTTATCATACAGTTTTCTAATAGTTCAAAGATAATTATGTCATTGACTTTGAATATTTTGTCGTCAGTGAATCAATGCGCATCCTTCGCTAAAATGCTTTGGAGAAGTTTTACGCACGTTAAATGCGAGCTTTACGAAACAAGGCTTTACGAGAGGATCCTAAACGCATCATACTGTAGCGTGGCGACTCGAGGGCGGACCGTGTGACGTAGCGCTGAGGCTATAGCTGTTTATTGTTCTTTCCACGGCACCACCAGAGACACGGGCTAACAAACCGTCAGCTACCCTTTTCAGACGGCTAACGGTTGGTTTAAACTGGGGCATACCTGTCAAGACAGCTGACTGCACATACAAGGAGCCATGGCGTATGCGTACCTCTTCAAGTACATCATCATCGGAGACACGGGTAAACAACAGCAAGTACCAGCTAGTCTTCCAGATCGCACTCAGCTAGCTGCTATAGCGGTTAGCTCGAGGTGCATTTCCGCAGTGTTGGATAGTCCAATGACGTGGTAAAAGCAGAGACGCAAGGGGTGGGATGACAGCTCCAAATCTGTTTAGATTATCTATAATAGAAAATATCACAACAGCCTGACAGTGACATGAAATAACATTGACACACTTTACAGCATGTTTATCATACACAGCCTTGAGTAGCAGTTTTTCCAAGAGTTTGATCCAGAGATGTTAGGCCTTTGTCCCTTTGCGTCCAGGGTGGGGGTGTTAGCCACAGCTCGCTAGCTCATCTAAAACCTTAAGCTGGTGTAAGAGAGCTGTTTCACCAGATATTTAACGAGTAGCTACCGAAGAGGCATATTTACAGTTAAACATAACTTTAAAACAAACATCTGATTATTTTATTTTTATTTATTCTTCATTTTTGGTCAGTCTTGTCGATGTTCTCAGTTAGAGGGTTTACATTAGCTCAGCTTTCTTACATAGTAGGCCAAAACGTCTCTCTCCAGCCCCTAATATTTCCTAAAATGGCGTAGAGCATTTGTTATTTTCGACCTTATATCTGTTACTCAAACATGAGTCGGAGTTATTCTATAGTTCTATTTTGTGCTGGATTGTAATTTTGTTGAATAACAAAACCCGGTGTGGTATTTGTTCCGCTGTCATCTGTTTTCTGAGAGGTGGCTGTCCTGATGAAGGGCCTGCTTAGTTTGTTGGAGCAGCAGGTGTATTTGAAAAGCTCATGTTTTTAATTCATGTAGCTCCAGTTTGAGAAAAAGCAGGGAATGTTAAATACATTAAAATGGGGTAATGTGAGAAATGTTGGATTATTTTGTAGAGGACAAAAATTAAACACTGGAGCTTAGGCCGAAACAGTGGCTTCTTGTCAACAAAGTAGCAGTCATATAAATGTTAAGTTTTACTGAGACATTAATAAGATAATTTCTTTACACAGTTAATATTTAAGTCAGCGAACACTCTTTGATAGTAGAAGTCACATGTAATTTATCTTAGGTGATGGCCATGGAGGGTAGCACAGTGTTGTTGCCAAAAAGTTTCATGTTTTGCTTGTTGAATGTTGTTTATTACTAGCAAGGAGGGCTTTTGCAATCAAGGTCCAAGCTTGATTATATGACAAGTTTGCAATGTGAAAAGTGTCCCTTAGAGTTCACAGATGTAAAAAAGTGACTGTGTTTACCATTTGGTTATGTATCCCTGGGTACTATTTCAGATTTTTCATGAATGTTAAAATGATCACATCACTAAGCCCCAGAGCTGTTGATGTAGTCAGCTGTGTTGCACAGGTATGTTGTCTTTTGCACCTGCAGCATATCCAATACGTCTAGGCACACTATGTAACATTAAACCTGGTGTTGTTCTAAAGCCATTTCACAAAGAAGAGTGGTGCTCAGGTTAATTAAAGACCGTCAAACTTACCTAGTATAAGTACATATCACATTATTCTGTTGGAAAGATTGTTTACCACATTATGTTAGCAGCTTTAAGCCCAGTTTATGCTTGACGCAGTTGCGAGAGGTTTGCGTGCCTCAAATGACGTAGACGTGCACCTTAGCGACAGCATCATGCTGTTGCGCAGCGCTCACTGTCGCGCACCTCCAGGATCTAGAAACCTGGTGCACACCGTGCTAGTGTCGCTCAGTTTAAAATGGATGAATTTGAGGGAAGACTGGTGGAGCTGCCCCTTCTTCTCTGTTTTTGGTTGCTTCTGCTACTTCCTATTGTATTTTTTCCTCTACCGCCACCTGTCTTTGCTGTGAGTATTGCAACAGAGAACACGCCAAGCATAAACACCTGTGCGCTTTGCTGAGGTTCACGCGCCACTTGTGAACGGAGCCAGGCGAAAGTATAACCAGTGCTTTAGGTTGACTGGGAAGAATGGTGTTATTGCAAGAATTGATATCTTGGTTTGTTGTGAAAATAGAGCTGGAATTTAAAGTGAACATAGAGGTTTATGTGACTCAAGTGGACTAGACTTGGTCCTCCCCCCTAGGAAGACTAGGGGTTGTATAAGTTTACTTCCACATGTGGAAGTATTATTGGGCAAGACACTGGCTTCTCCATAAGCATCTGTATATGCATGTGTAGGAAAAGTCAATAATGTATACATAATGTGTATAACTGGGCTCATAATCCAGATGAGTGTGTGCAAAGTGCTTTGAGTGGTCAAATGACCAGAATGGGATGTAGTGATGAAGTCTAACCACCAAGTTAACCATTTCAAAGTAATAGTGATTTTTGTAAAGTTGTATTTTTTTTCCTGTCATTAGACAAGACAGCCAAAGAGAGACAGGAAATTTGTGAGTAGAGAGTGAGGGACAAGATGCAGCAAATAGTCATGGCAGGTAGTTAAACCAGCAACTACAGTGGACATACAAAAAGAGCATGCTTAAACAGCTAGGCCAACTGTGCCCTGGTATCAGTGATTTTTGTCATCTCCTGTAACCGTTTTTAATTTTTGCTAATATGAGTTGTAAACAACACTCAAATAACTCTCCTAAGTCTCAAGAAATTGGAAAATATTACCTCCTTAATTTGTAAGAACATGACTGTCTTACCTTGTGAACACTTGAGTAGGTAGTTGTTTTTCCTTTTATGGCATTTATTGCTTGGCTGTGTTAAAGGTTCAAACTGATGGTTACATGCTCCAAAATAGATTTATTTCATTAGTTTGACTGAAACTGGACCTTTTTAAATACATGTAAACACCTTAAACTGAACTTGTAGACATTAGACTTCTCATAGTGTACTAAGTTGTTTAGAGGGGTTGACCTCCCCTTTCCCTATACTCCATTGGACTAAAACTGGCCTCAGTGCTTTGCCCATGCTTCACTGCTGTCACTGACAGTACCATTTCATCATTCCTCGTGTATCCTGTTAACTACTGGCAAAAGCATTAGCTGAGTGTTTTGGTACTTGACGTCCAAGGTCACCTGGCTGGTGTTCCAGAAGCACAAGTATGTCCACCCTAGCGGAGGCGAACATCCTGTCAATAATTAGATTCTTGCCAGATGCTTCTAGACTGGGACAAGGACAGTGGTCCTGTGAAATCACCTAGTCAGACCAAACTGACTCAACAAACTGTGCATGTAAAATTACTCACAGACTAGTTGCTGTGGAAGAATAAGAACAGTTTAAATCATTAAATTATTCCTGAATCTGCATTTCATGTACAGTAATCAATAGTTTTACCAAGAGAGTAGCTGTAATTTATAAATTCTTAAGAATTAGTTCTACAGCATTCTTATCCTACCCATTCAGGATTGAGGTGTAGCAATGTACATCCTCCCAGTGGTCCAAAAGGGGTCAGTTCTGGCTCATAAAACAAGATGGTGACAAAATCTAAAGAACCTTCTGCTCTTATTCCAACAACAGTCCCTAAAATTAAAAAAACTGAAGCTTTGCGGATTTTCAGTCACAGCAGGGAGAGTTTTTTTGTTTTATCGTTCTCATTAGGATAGTAAAGAGAATTGACCCGCAGGCAGCTTTACAATAATTTAATAACTACTTTGAGCAAATACTAAAGTAAGTGCCCTGCAGATATGTTGCACTTCTGAATAATTTTCAGAATGTCCAGGAAAACTGCCAACACCTCTGTGATAACAAATCCATCATGCTGGGTAAATTTTTTCTCTTAGGTGTACTTCTAGTCCTGAAACTGCACTGAGGAAACCAGTCAAATGTCCCCTTCATAAATTTTAGCAACCAAGCTAAAGGGCCAACAGACTCCACAGCCTGAAAATGAGACAACCCAAAGCTGCAGGGCTAGCTCCAGATGTCTGAAGTTGTTGTCAGTTTTGTTTGAGGATGTTTGCTAATGCCGAATCATGTGATTTCTGTCAACAAAAAGCTTACCAGCTACTCTGGCTGACATTGTTAGTGTACAGAACTTAAACAAAGCGGTTTTTAGGGATTAAATCATGAATTATTCTACCTTCTGATGTTTTGGGCGGAGTGCATTTTTTAACTGACTGTGAGGGATAATTGAGGCAGTGTTTGTGAAGTATTTGACTGATTCCTGGGTGTGGTCATAGTTTACTGACTCAGTTATTAGAAACAAAGTCCTGATTATCGTCTAATTAGGGCTGAGACTTGATTAAAAGAATTAATCTAGTTAATAAGAGGCATTGTTATCAATTAATCGCAGATAAATATTTGATCTGAGAGCAGTGAGAATCATTTTATTTTTACAATGGTAAATGAGTAAATCAATGAATAGTGAATTGAATGAATGCATAAGTTTAAGCAAACAAAACCTTGTTTATTTCTTTTTTAAGGTGATACTTAACCAAGACCAACAGATCATTGCTTTTTTATGCCATAAAGTGCAGCAATTTTAGGAATGAACAATAGAGAATCCATTTCAGAGATTTAGGTAGCCTATAAAGGATCAGCAAGCCAGAGAGTTTGTTAATTTTTCTGATGTGGACTTACTCATCTTAGCTCTGAATCCACTTACTAGTTGAGTGTGAGTTGGGTGTGGGTCACTGTACTCGGAGTGGGACTTACGTTAGCTGCCATGCTAGCTGCAATATGTTTAGCATTCAGGTAATACTGGAGGCTTGACATGCTACGGTGATATGCAAATTCTTTTTTGCGTAGTTTGCACAAGACTAATTTTAATCTGCGACTTCGTTCATTCTTCCATGCACTGGGTAAGACTGGAATCACTGCTGCACTCACTCACATTGGGGTGCGCTGGTGTAAGTGGTATACCTGAAACTCATCCAGTGAGAAATCTTCTGTGGTGCAAAAATACAGTAGGTGTAAATAATATGCCATAATATTTTTAATGAGATAACATTACTGTAACTAAATAATCGCAATTAGAGCCTAAAAGTCATGGCTCCAAGCCTAATATTTAATTTTCTAGTGAGGTAAGAAAGAACATT